TATATATATATATATATATTAAATCAATAAATATATGTATTATGTACCTGCCTTTTTAATTACCCAAGGTAAGGCATTATGCAGCTGCTGCGGCTGCTCAATGTTCCAATGTTCCAACCCCAGAGCTTCAGGTATTGGGCAATAAAGTGACAGTTGCTACGCTCGATAACAATAATCCTGTTGCTCAAGTGTCAATTATCTTTAGGTATGAAAATTTTCTTTTATGATATAAGTTAACAAATGGTAAAATGATGTTACATATAATATATAATTACTTAGTATAAAATAATCATCTCTCTCTTGTGCTATTTTTTTTTATCTAGAGTTGGCTCGCGCAACGAAACATATGATACACAAGGTACTGCACATCACATTCGAATCGCTGCTGGTCTGAGCACTTGTAGATCAACTTACTTCGGAATAACTAGAAACATCCAACAACTCGGTGGTAACTTAACTGCCACCACTGATCGTGAAAGTATCGCGTACACATTACAAATTACAAGAAATAGCATGTAAGCAAATTTCTTCATTTGACACATCTATATCAAATAATTTTGCAACACTTATATATTCTAATATCGCAACAGAGACAAAGCTTTGACTTTCCTAGAGGATGTCGCCACCCAGCAAGTATTCAAGCCATGGGAAATATCCGATCAATTACCCAGGTTGCGCTATGAATTATCTATGATACCTGAGACAACCCGTATAATGGAATTGTTGCACAAGGCAGCTTATCGTAGTGGACTAGGTTATTCTTTATACTCGCCAAAGAGACAACTTGGAAAAATCAATACAGAAACTGTACGTACGTAATGTTACTTATTAATAGCGTACGGCACAAAAGAAAAATTTGCTTTCTTCCTATACAGCTGCAACATTTCGTTAATACTTGGTTTACTGGCTCGAGATGCGCGGTCGTAGCAACAGGCGTGTCACTGTCGAACGTGACGCAGTTTGCTTCGAATCTGAAGGTAGGCTCGGAAGATAATATTGTGGAAGTTGCCAAATATCACGGAGGGGAACTCCGCAAGGAACGCTCCTCCGAATTGTCCACTGTAGCAGTAGCCGTTGAAGCAGCAGGTTTAAACGAAGAGAAAGATGCCCTTGCTTTTGCTGTGTTGCAAAGGGCAATAGGTTCTGGTCCTCGTGTAAAGTGGGGCTCCAGCGTGACTCCACTGAACAAAGCAGTCTCTGGAGCAACGGGCACCGACCAATTTGCCCTTTCAGCATTTAATGCTTCTTACAGTGATTCCGGATTGTTTGGTTTTGTTCTGTCCTCAGTACCCAACGTCGCCGGTTCCGTAAGTTTTGTCATTTAACATAAATACGAATCTATAACTGCTAAAGATTCTCATTAGACATTCCATGTACATGCTATAATTTTTTTATCTTACTTTGAAGGTGACAAAAGCTGCTACTAAGTATCTGAGATCACCTAAGCTTTCCGATGCTGATATCGTGCGCGGTAAGACTACATTGAAAGCGGAAATATTATATGCCGCAGATAATGATGCCATGCACTTGGAAAATATGGGACAGCAAGCAATTATTAAAGGATGCGTATACAAACCGTTTGATCTCGTTGCAAAAGTAGACAAAATAACTGCATCTGAAGTCAAATCGGTATGCAGATTTCATTTTTCCAGCAATATCGTTCATTTTACTTTTCAATTTACTCTTTCAACATTATAGAATATTTAATTTGTGTGTGTGTGTGTGTGTGTGTGTGTGTGTGTGTGCGCGCGCGCGTGTGTGTGCGCGCATGCATGTGTATACACGTACATTTATATAATGCACAAGAGTATATACAAAACTTATATGTTAGGACGGGAGCCAGAGTCTTGCATAACATATATTCAGGCCTGTATTCAGAACGCGCTTACAATGATGTTAGCGCGCTAACATGCTATAGTTTACGTTATACGTACTAAAATATTTTAGAGATTTAGAAAACACATTATGACCTATAATGCATAAGAAAACGAACCAATCAAATCCTTTATTTCCTTCGATTCTTTCCATAAAATAAAAGTTAATTTTTTTATGCTTTATACATTATGCAAAGATTTGTGCTCATAAGACTTAATTAACAGCGTCTGTTTTTTTATGATACTTTTAGGTTGCTGGAAAACTTGCTGGCGGAAAATTATCCATGGCTGCAATCGGCAATTTATGCACAATTCCATATGTCGATGAATTAAAGTAGATATATGATAATGAAAATTTGGATAGTATCATTTTGCGAGCCTTCGAGTTTTAAATATTTTATCCAGAAACACACGTTTATCAGAGTGTAGAATCTTCTTAGAGATATTAATAAAAGAGAATATCGCTGTAGTTAATTGCTTGAATATTTACTTTAATTTTAGTTGTCGTTTAATGTAACAAGGAATTGCGGAAAAAAATGGAAACATAAGATATCAAAACAGCCAATAATCAGTAAAAAATCAAGTTCAGCATTGTTCAATGTTATTTATATTATTTTCGTCTGTCAATAATTCATTCGTCTTCTGCATAAGATTAATAGAAAAATACATAAGAAATATATGAAGATCATACATCTTCAACACACTACGATGACGCGAGAGATGTAAAAGTGTCTTTTCATTTACTTAATAATTTAATAAAGTTTAATTTCTTCTATAGAGTAGAATTTATTGTATTTTCTCGAAGAAGATCGTAATGCTTTTCCATTGTTTGTCCTGTCTATCATAGGCCTCAAGTTGACAAGGTTTTGCAAAAACTGAAACTGGAAAGGAAGAAACGGCAATTGGTAGATAAGATGACGAAAGATTGTGCAAATTACTTTTCATACTTACATGTTCTTCTAGGACAGACTCTAGCCGATTGAAAAGCTCCACAACGTGCATATCTTGCGACAATAAATAATGTTGATAGTGCGAGTCGAGAAGCACACAGAACCATTCATACAACTGTTGATCGTTCGGCTGTGAAGTATCGTCAAGCGAGTCCGTTTTCTCATTCAATTTACACATTAGATATTCCAATAATTTAAGTACTTGATCGAAAGTTAAACCGGTTTTCAGATGAGGTAACAACGAAACACTGGAATAGCTGATACTAAACACTCTGTTGAGAAAATTGTCTCTGGAATAGGGATTATTAACTTTCAATGTGCTATCAGTCGTTCCATTTTGCAGAGGAACGAATACTTTGTCTGGACTTTTTAAGGTAAATACCAAAAGATCCACTAATAACTTCTCTGGCAAATCTTTAAACGTATCGAGACACCAACAGATCGACGCGACATCGCCAGATTCCATCAATAATGGAATCACGATCTCTTGTATCGCGGAATCACTCCATCCCTCGTTCAAATAAGCGCAGATCTTTTTCGAAATATTCAAAGGTATTCGACCTATCGATGCGCTTCTTGTCGACGTTCGATTCTTGCCCCACTGAGCCACTGTCGCTTCCTGTATCACGATAATATCGTCTGCATCGTTACTATCATTGCCGTTCTTAAAGCGCAAAGATGAGCCCAACATAGCAGCTATCCTTTGTGGCGCCAGGTGATAGGGCGCGACGGCCAAATGTCTGTTTGCCGCTAGCAATAATTTGTCCTCCACCTTCCAGAGCTTAGCGTCGTTGGTGTAAAGTTTTAGCTTCTGCACCGCTTGCGCCGATTTGAATTGTACATTGTATATCATGAGTACTGCCCCCTCGTCGGTGACGTCAGCGCCATAAATCGCTATGGTCGTCTCGTTAAGATGCGTCATCACAATGGGATATTTCGTATTGATATTAGTAATTACACTAATCAACCTATTAGACTCCATGTCGGAAGACGTCCCTGTCAACAAGTGACTATACAATCTACCGTGTGACCCTGAAACAATTGCATAATATTAAACATGCGTGTTTTATCTTAGAAAACGGGGGAGGGGGAAAAGGGAAACCTGATGACACTTTAATACACACATAAAGTCAACAGATATGCATCGTTCTTATGATGTATTACAACGTGTCCCATAAGAACCTCCGACTTTCGTTTTAATTCTATCCTCCTGATGGTATCCGCTTTCTCTAAACAGGTACCGTCCTCCAATCCAACTACTACATAGTTATAGACCTCTTCTACTCTCGTCAAACAAAACAAACTCGTCTTTCCGTTTAAATGTATCAGCTGACAGTTGCATAACTTCTCCTTAGCCCTAATTATGCCCTTGCTTATCCATGTCTTCCTATTGTCGATGGCCCACTCTAGGGTAGCCGTAGCTCCATTTTGCTGGACAAGAATGGGCGACGAGTCACCATGTGGTAGAATAGCATAAAGCGGGGACGAAAACTTGTGTCCCTTCACGTTGTTCAAGTCCGCCTGCTCTTCCGACCAAACCCGAATCTTTCTCTCATTAAAGGCAGCAACGTAACACTGCTTGAATCTATCATAGATGACTTGCGTCGTCAATCTTTCTTTGCTGGACCAACTGCTGATTTGTTTTAAATCTTGTAGCTGGAAATATATACGGATTGTCAAAATGTTTCAAGGCCACAATAAAAAAAAAGCACATTTTTAATGTTAAAACACAATGATTAAATCTCTATATAACCTTATATCGTATAACTATGTTCCTGCCGAGAGTCACTATCGCGCAGCCTGGTTCCTTATCCTTCTCGACGCCGAGTAAACTCTGCTGGTCGATAAGTGGACAAAGCGTGTAATACGAATTGAGCTTTGCCATTCCCGTAACATGTAAAGCCTTTTTTCGGAATTGGTATCGCTCGTCTATGAACTTGTATCTATATCCTTATAAAAGAACGATCAGATCAGCACTCGTGCCGCGATTCAAGACGCATTATGTAGTCGCTTTGCATTTACACCGCGATTCTCAGATAATTCTTACTTGTGACGTCTGGTCATAATTCAGTTATGAGAATGTTCGATTGAATGTTCCTTTTGCAAGTTGCACTCTGTGCAAGTGAGACTTAACTGAGTTTTTGCCTAAATCTGCACAAGATCGAGACCGTGTGCTTTATTAGTGAACCCGTCCCGTAAACCCATTTTAAAAGTGAGGTTATGAATCTGTGTTAAGTAATAACTTTATCAAAATAAGCAATTAAGTAATGACATCATTAATTTGAGTACAAAATACTCAGCTCACTTCAGACTCAGTTTTACTCGTATGTAAATGGAAAGCAACTATCGTTACCATTAAATCAGTCGCTGTTGCGTCTTCTTCCACGTTCTTGCGCGTTCTCTTCACGTTCGTTCACTCAGTATCATTCAATATTATT